GAGTGGACGCCTATCCAAGAGAATACGAGAACACCCCTTCATGGCTGGAAAAAGGCAAAACTTGGAGCATAAGCAGCGCCATTCTCGAGCACATTGTTGAGTCCGGACATCATGTGGACCCCCAGTGAAGCTTTTCGTGCGATTTAAGAGGTCCTAGAATCCACCAGATGACTAACAGGCTCACGTAATTCATAGGTATTTTGGCAGATTTTGAATTACGTGAGCCTGGTAGTCATCTGGTGGATTCTAGGTGAATTACTTAGGAAATCCTGCTTGAGCAGTCAACTTACTGTATCAGATTTGGTGGATTCCAGACGTTACAGTAGGTTGGGCGGGTAAACTTGACACAAATGTGATTAAACTCGTGTCGTCCGGCGGGGCCTCGTAGCTCAAGTGGTTAGATCGTTGGCTGTACTAAAGCCTTTTCCTTACTGCGTGGGTTCGAATCCCACCGAGGCGCCACGTTCTTCACAGTTGGGTCAATATTAATATCATTTTCTATTTTGGAGTTATCGGGATCCTCCACCAAGCGTCCGACAAAGGCGTTCTGTTGCTTATCGTTAACCTAACAAGCGAAATTCAGCGGCTCTAGGGAGCTATGTCTTTCGTTATGATGATTCTAGTCGTATTTATAGACCTACTTCGTAATGAAACATGCTTGTCGGAAGTAGTCTAACACTGCACTAAAGACCTGCATTGCGTATTACGTGCAGCAGATGGAAAATCTCTAAATAATTTTCAAAATAAAAATACCATCTTTAATACAATAAACAAATAAATGTTCGTGCCTTTCATCTTTTTTTCGAAGTATCGCGCGGGGTGTAGGGGTGTCAGCGATGGGTTCACGTGATGGTCATAGTGGTCGCTCATTTGCTTACGGGTGGGACTACGCCTAGCGTCCATTTGCTGGCACCCAACCCTCACATGTGGTTCCACGTAGTTGGGCCCTGCTAGGCCGCCACACCCCGGGCAACCGCCTCCACCGGCGGGCTAAACCAAGTGAGGGCGGTTACTCCTAGTGCGCGTTGTGTCACGTGCACAGGGCACTGCGGACTCCTCTGGACGTTTGGTCGAATGGAAAACCGTGTCGGCACCGTCGTGAAGAGACTCCGTCTGGTACGCCGCTGGTCAGCCGGTTGGTGGAAAGCCTCATCGGCATCGTCTAGATGAGGCACCGCCTGGTACGCGGTTGGTTAGCCGGTGGGATGGATCTTCGAATCGGCATCGCCGACACGCGCCCATCTGGTTCACCGTAGGAGACCGCGGGCTTACGGCGATATCGTAAGCCATTGGCAAATTTGAGTCGTTCTTCCACTTCCAAGAAAATCTCGTGGACCACAGTGGAGCTCGGTCGCTCCGGCACATCAAGCAGCCCTATTCAAGGGGGGCACTGCTTCTCTTTGGAGGGAGCCTAGAAAAGCTGACCTCAAGATTGCTGGGGAACCACGTCGTCTGCAGGCTGACCGTGGTCGCAGACGTAAAACTCACGGTCGAAACAACCAAAATCGAAATAACAACAACAACAACGACATTACTCGCTCTCCTCATCCTACCTCTTCTCCATCTTTCTCTGCCTATTCTTCTCCTTCGCCATCCTTTTCTCCACCTCCTTCCCGCCGCCTCACACGTCGTCAGACTGGCAGGGTGAGTCCGCTTACTCTGGCAGCCTGGAATGTTCGTTCCCTTTTAGACAATCCGAGGTCCAACCGGCCGGAACGGAGGACGGCGCTAGTGGCCCGGGAACTGGCGCGCTACAAGGCGTGCCGGCGTCTGCCCGTTCATATATTTCTCTCACTGATAATGAGAGTTTTCTGCCGCGAGAGTAGAATACGCTTATTTGAACCGTTTTTGTTATCTTTGGTTAATTCTGGGCCCGATTCTATTGACTATGTTTGTACTACAGACTGACTATATGTTCTATGTTACGCATTATTTGAAAACATGTCGAGGTTAAATTGACCGGAATATGTGGACCAAATCGCGATGTGGAACATTCTCTAAGAAATAGTGGTTGCGGCAGAACAAGTGATCTCCTGCGTCCTTGCGTAGATTTGCAAAATATATTCTTTTAAAACAATGACTCCTGTTTTTTGGAAATTACATAATCCAAGAATGCTCACTTTTCCATTATTTGAAGCATTTTTTTCCCGGTATGAATTTGAAACAGGCATACACCGCAGAACTTATTGTTACCAACAGATTTCGCGACGGCTTGTAAATTGCAATCTGTCACTGCATAAATAAAGAATGAGAGAGGTACAGAGATGCGGATTTCCACAGAAAAAATCCATGCAGAAGAGCAAGGTCATCGTTTACTGCACACAGACCAATCAATGAAAATGGTAACTTAAAAACAATTTAGGAAAGAGAGGCTAACTCGCATTTCTTGTTAGAATATGGATTATTTTGTAAACCGTTAATCTCAGGAGTAAAAGTATGACTTTCGAGCCATGGTAAACTGACCATCCAAATATCAGTCATCATGTTTCATCAGAAAAGTCTACTAATTTTAACCTACACAACCCACAGAACCCTTACAACTTAAACAGCGACTGTCGAATGTATGCCATAGTACTGCTAACACCTTTAACATATTTTGGGATGAGCTGAACGTTTCATTAGCTCTGGAGACCTCAACAAGTCCCTTTACTTATTACGAATAATGTAAAAATGCACATTTATTTCGCTCATACAACTCTTTACTTGGCACGCTCTACCTGAATTCCAACCGATACAACTGATTCTATGCTCAGTCCGTTCATAAAACATGCCTCCACTGATCTCCGTTCTTTTCCATAATTGGGAACTAAATGCTTCTGCACTAGTTGAGACCATCTTTTTTGCTTCTGTCTAGCTGACCGTCTGCAAGAGCATACATATGTTTGGTGGTCTTTAAATAATCACGCTTCACGGCATCTTTTCTGCGACCGACCATGGAGCCAATGTCCTGCAAAGCCACCGTCTGATGGGTAACTAATTCAGTCGAACGCATTTAGCTCACAATGACATCATCAACTGTGGGGTCTAGCCAAACTGCACATGACCTTTCCTCGAATGACTATCTTGAGGTTACTAAACTACACAGTCCAGCGCGCAAATTGCCATACTGGTCTCTGTCACACAGACTATTTCGTCTTTCTTGGTACCTTTTTATCCCTCAATGTCACGCCCACGGGCAGGAGAGCGCAATGTGCATTCAATTTAACCTACTAGCTCCGAAAGTTAGGGAAAATCGATCCGTCAGCGCGAACTCAATGTTTTTGTGGTTATAACTCAAATGAAATCAGGTTGGTTGCAAGTTATTCTATTCTATACAGCATTCTATATATCATTGTTTACTCATATTTGCCTTTAAATATGGAAACTTCTGCACTTTAACGAACGCCTAAAATACAGCCATTCAGACAGGCCTAAATGGCAGTAAATTACTATCCCGCCACATACACGATGTCGTTTAGTTGATGAAGTAAGTCAAGCTGGAAGATTGACCAGGTGCGTTTTCCGAAATATCGTTGCAAATAGTGTTTTATTGCAGGGAATTTACATACGTTTATCTTATGTGACCTAATGACATGAAAGATGGTCATGTTGTTGGTAAGCTAAACTTTTAAAATGTCACAAAAATTCGTGATAGTTGGACCATCGCATCCGACGATGGACACCGTGTGCTCCATAGCAAGAGAAAGCGGGCACGGTGACTTGCGCATGAATTAGTTTAAAGTGAGTGTACACTTGCGCAGCATCTATCGCACTCTTTCCTCTTCTCACACCTGAGTTCGGTGTAAAGACAAAGTTAAGAAGATGGCGCGGTGGATGGCGCGACCGAGCCCGCACCTTGGCGCTGCACTCCAAACCCCCCTGGGTCACAGGGAAACTGACCAGAATCTTAACCAAAAATAACACATCACTAGGGGCCAGAAGGAGGAGGATGATTTAGCAGTCATGCTCAAGACCTTTGTACCCGGCCGGAGCTCAAATGCACCCACCGGCAGGGAACCAGGTGTCAGAGAACCGCTAGCGCATGCCAGGTCATGGTTTGCTGATCCTGGCATAGCAGACGCTTGCAGATCGTTAGGCTTACACGGGTGACACGTGGCGCTACATTTGCCTTGGCCGTCACTCTTCAAGGCTGGGTGACCAAAGAGCCGTCGACTGAAAGGCGCTACCCATAAAGCACACCCACTCCCTGCATGCGTGAGCATATCACAGACCACTTAAGACGGAGCCGTGACGGCCTGGCTCTCAGCCCACCAGTCCGCCACTCCACACAAGCACACACAACTGGTCAGACTGCGCGGACTGAGTTGGGGAGTCAGTCGACAGCTCTCGATGCCACGGAGCTTGACGCACCGGAACAGCCTCAGACTCGAATCACACATGCAGCCGTATGGAGAAGGAGTCATGGAGCGCACTTCCCACTCTCGTGAGAGGTGACAATTGGGTGCTTGTGGTGGGTGATGATCCCGGAGGTGCGGGTGCTGGTGGGGAAAATGTGATAGTGTGGTGTGGCCGTTGGTTGTCTACCGCAGGTTTTCATTAATGCGCATGTGTCCTAATAGATCCATGCGGTGAATGAGTGTGTGGGTGCTGTGAGGCCAGTTGAGGCGGATGCGGCGAGTGAAGGTTGGTGCTCCAGGCACAGGCTTGCCAGTCATCGTGTGATGGACTCTCAAATGACCGACCAGGCCTATGTGTGAAGTGAATGTACTGTTGCAATGACGACAGGCATGAACCGGGTCCATATCGCTGAAGGTGGGGATGTTTGTGATGCCTGAAGTGTATGGGCCGTCGGACTTCGTCCCATCGTTGGAGGGAATGAGTGAAGGCGTAGTGGAGATGATACTGGACGCTGCGGTCGATGCAGGGGTTGAGGTAGGACGGATGGTGGCGGCTGGGCAGTGAGAGTGTGATTGGCGGTGAGGAGGGTGGTTTTCGGCCGGGGAGGGGGGGAGGAGAGATTGACGTTGTCCGGTTGATGGTGAATTGGATCCGAAGGTGTCCTATGATGCCAGTTTGCGGGCGAATGCGCGTTGACAGCGTGGGCATGTTGGGAGCGACGGATGTTTGACATTGAGGGGGCGGGGCACTTGTGACTTGCGAGCCTCCCGTTCAAGTTTGGCGGCGGCAGTCCGATTTGACTCGTAGATGGCAGCGCCGTTCTTCACTTCCCTTCTCCAGACCCGTCTCTTCTGAACGAGGTCCTCCCATTTCTCTGGACTGATATGCAATTGCTTAAGAGAATTCTTCAATGTGTCCTCGTAGCGTCGTTTTGGTCCTCTTGGTTGACGAGCACCGGTGACAATATAATGGAAGAGTTTATTATTCTACGAAGGCAGCTGAGATAGAAGTGGTTGAGTTTCTTGGCATGGTTGGAGTAGGTGGTCCAGTTCTCCGCAGCGTAGATAAGTGTCGTCGGGACGACGGCTTTGTACATCTTCAGTTTGGTATTCAGTTGGACGCCGTGAAGATTCTACACGGGGTTCTGCAGCCGTCCGAAGGCTTGTCTGGTTTTGTAGATCCGATGGGCCACTTCGTCGTCGATTCTGGTGCTGTAGCGACTCTTCTTCGGGTATCTGTTTCAAAGCTGTTCCTCTCGCGAGTGCTCACAGATACGCACCAATGGCATGCGGATTTTCGTCTGCTGAGTTTTCCTAGTAGCCAGTTAGTTTCAAGACCGACTTACACGTGCTCCTGTTTAAGACAGTGTGGCGCATGCTCCGCTAACACTCGGGATGCCGCAGTCCCGGAGCGGGGCCAACCCCGTACGGCTACCGCCCCTCCCCAACCTCTTCTGCGATAGTTCTGTACAGAATAGACTATTTTCACAATTGGCATCTAACTCCTCTTTCTATTCGGGACCGAGTCTGAAGGTCGTAGTGTCTCTGGTCTCATTATGGCCTAAGCTTCTGTGATAACATCACTTCGCAACTGCCTTTGATTAAGGCCACTTGGAGGGAAAATAAACCCAACTGGCTGTTTAACACCTCCGGAAGCTATGGAGCAAAAATACTGTTGTCTTTGGTTTCCTAAGCTAAATTACTGTACTTATAATGCCTTATCTATGAGAGCACCAAAACGATCGCCTTGGAAAGCCATTTTAATTTGCTCCTCTCCCTCTCTCTCTCTCTGGAGATGTGCCGAGATCTCTGCCCAGCTAGTAATGATTGTACCAACGTCTTTCAGTTCATAGTGTAAGTTCACCTGTGTCATCCTAGCATATTCGAGGTGCGATGAATTGACATGAGGAATGGTACATTAGTGTAGACTTGATTATCCTGCCTCTGTTCCATGCTGGGTAGGTGCTGTAGCCGGCCAGCAGTTAAGTTTTCGCCCATCGCTCACACGAATCATTCATCCGTCGGTGTGGTAGGTTGCTGCACGAGTAATGGCTGATTTTGATCTGTACACACATTTCGAATGTTTGTTTGGGTACAGTTTGGGCGGGAGAAGGTTGGCATGATTGTTGTTAGCCGGAGTTCCTTGTTCTGGTTCTTAAGTCGCACTGCAATAGGTTCGCAGGCATCAGGACAGGGCGGTGCACGACTGCAATGCACAATCACCATGCGAGGTATCTGGTTTTGGTTTACGCTGATGATAATTGCTTCGCGTGCTCAGGTTTCACGACTACAAACTTGCCAGCTCATGGGAAAACAAGATGGAAAAGAAATTTTAAAGTTAGGGCAGGTGAACAGAATTCTTCTACAATTATGTTATTTAGTTATTCGGAGTGGAGCATGATTATGCTGACACTGTGCAGACTCCAGAGTTGTCCAAACGTGAGAATTAGGCGGGCATCTGCATCAAAAAACATTCTGGCAGAGTTTGTGCGTCCCCGACGTCGGTACACGGCCGCCCAGTATTCCCTGCTCTTAACTTTTGTGGTTCTCTCACATTCATTTAGCCTTGTACACATCTGATCCAGGCTTTAAAGCTGTTTGGCATGCCTTCGGTGATGTGCGAGTTTGTTCCCGGGTCTTTTTTTTGCGTTGGAGGCACTTGAGGCGGTTTTCAGTACATCCTTATAAAGTTGTTTCTTTTATGCACGCTGCCCGCAACTCCCCTTAGCAACGTTCTTTTGAAAGGGTCGCTTTGGAATATGTCTATTATTCGTTATTATGACGAGGCCCTTTCAACTTGGTTGGATTTGCCTCAGCGCCCGGCACGCCATTTGGCTCAATAATCTGATGAGCACATTGCATAACAGCCAGGAACTGTTAGGTCCCATGAGTTCATACGTAAGTACTCAGCGTACCTCAAATTTTTGAGTTTGTAAATAACTGAAAAGTCCTACAGCTGGCACAGTGTGACTAGATACTGCAACATGTCTTATACTCCTCAGTGTTTTAGGCGAAATGGGATTGATCGCCGATGAAACCATATGCTCTTTTGCCCAGTCTGGCTAGTCTTTCTTTTCTCAGAGTGGTGCTGCTTTCGTTATAATCAATGACACGCGTCGCCAACGGGTTTCTCCGCATAATTAACCATGGCTACTTAGCTAATTTTTATTACTTTTGAGATGACATTGCGCGAAAAGCTTCGAAAAGTAGTCCCCGACCGAAGACGTAGCATTATTTAAGGTAAACGACACGTTTACCGACACTATCCTCGTAAGTTAAGATGAAGGGAAAATGCAGCTGCCAATAAATTTTTCGCTTTCTGGCATAATCTACTTCCTCCTCTTTCAACGGAAGATATCAAAAGTCGAAGTAAACAGAATCTAAAATCGACACATTCTGTTTAAACAAGTGAACAAAAAGTCATCAACAGAAATGTTGACCATGGACTTTGCATAGGAGCGAACCAAGGACAGTTGCCACAGTAAAAAAGTGCAAAATAAGTGGTACAAATGCATCGGAACAGTGACGCATCCTCTCCCTTTTCTCGCAATTACCAAGCAGACCCTTGCCAAGGTTGGTAGGATCGCATTCTGCTCATCTTGCTGCAATGAGAAAAAGGCATACTCCGTCTAATGACCGTTACATCCCAATTTTTGTAAAATTATTGCAAAGATTGATATGTCTCGTCAAAAATCAAAAGTTAAAAAACACTCAAACAAAACGTTAAAGAGGTAAGCGTCTCGACGCGAGGCACCTTCGTAACACCCTATCTAATCATTTCACTCGTGCAAGGTCGTCCTAGCATATTCAGAGCAGGTGACATCGAAAATCTCCGTCGGCCTGTTGAAGCCACATTAAATGATTTCTCGATAAGCGGACCTATAAGGCACTGACAGCAACTGTAGAGCACTGACAAGGCTGTCAAGAGAGAAATTAGGAGCTTCAAGCTGGAAAATGTTTCTTAAAGATCTCATGTAAGATAGATAATTAACTTCTAGAAAGCTAGTTCGTCCGCCATATTGCATCGGCGGGCTTTCAAGATTCGGCCGTCATTTGTTGTGCTTTTCATCTATGAATATTTCCTTATTGCTCGTCAGTTGGTCTCGTTCACTTGCTGTGCAGCGATTTTTATATTCCTTTTTTGTTGGCACCACGAGTATAAAGTCAAATGTACGCTACGCTATCGCCGTTTCAAGTGAAATAAAGTCTGGTTTAAATTTTGCACCGAATTCGCCGGCGACTGTCAATGATGTCAAAAGTTGCAGTTTGCAGTTTGTATGTCGCTTTTGTAATCTTCCGAGACTATTTATTTCCCATACCCTTGGTAAATGAAGGGCGTTATTACTAAACATTTTTGAAGATACTTTCAGAGTAGAGTGCATTTCACTCTCTTTAAATTAGCTAAGGTGTTTGTTATGTACGCAGGTGTAACTTACAGGAAAGCAAACACAGGACCAGGAGAGAAATGTTTTGATCCTCAAAACGGTCGTTGGAGATCTAGGCTTCGATTGTGACATCTTGCGCAGCCTCACCGTCGTTCCCAACACCCTCACCACTTTCTACCTCTCCTTCTCCATCATCTAAATGAGGAAAAATCAAATCAGGATTTTTTCGATGTGTACGGTTCGCGTGTTTCGTCAAGCCCAAAATCTACACAAATTTTCTCTGTGCATATTAAGCATTTGTTATGTTTATAAACAAACGAAAGCGCATGAATTTATGTGAAAAGGATAACTACGTGGTATATTTTCAATTTATTCTAGGTTATCAGCATGAACGGCATGCGGGAAGATGATTGGAATGAATTTGGGGTTTCTATCATAAGACTAGGTGTTATGCTTTGTTTAAAAAATTATCGGCTACATGTTATTCCAGTTTGAAAGTTCCGCTACGCAAAGTTGTCCGTGAGATATACACAGAATAATTGACAGTTGGTGAGTCTTTAAATAAACTCCGGATATGGATTTACTAAAGTAGGATGAGCGGACGCAGTTGTTGGATGTCTGGTGTTGAATGCGAAGGCGTTACGTGGCCACAACCTCACTGTCAAACACCAAGTGAAGCTTTTCGTCTGGTCCTCTCGTCTTTCGTCTGATCCCAAGAAACGTTTCTTGTCATGAAAGGTGGCCTCAAAAGGTACTTAGGAGGAAATCTAACCTACAGGAGCTATTAAAGAAAACTATTAAAGCACTTGACGGAACAGAGAGTTGCTGGTCGGTCACATAGGTATATCTTAGTATATTAAGATGGACAAGTTAGCTTGCTTTTCGAAGGGTCATTGACACCGTTCCTCTAAACAGTTGGCCACTTGATGCAGTCGTCTGGAGAGTGCCATTTCTGCCTGCTACAACGGTACCAACTGTGTACATACTTTATAACCGTGCTTTTCCACCGTCGACTAACGATGTTCTGAGCTTAACAGAGCAGCCACTTGGATGTTCCTTAACTCGGACGCCAATGAGCATTTTCGGTTAGACGCTAGTTAAAATTTCCGAATTATTTACTAACAAAACTAGCAAAGAACGTCCAGCTAACCCGTTTACTTACCATCCCCTTCGCCCTCGCCCTCACCCTCGCCGTCGTCCTCACCTTCTCCTTCGCCTTCACCGTCAAGGTCTGAAAAAAGCAGATGGCTTTTTAATGAGTGTACCGAGCCCTCCTATGATACCTATTCTTAAATCAATAATAACGCCTGCCTCTGACTTATTTTAATGGACTCGCAATACTGCATCTGGAGACGCGGTTTACAAATGCACAATCATCAAACTATTATTCTCATTTTATCTAAGCTTGCATTTGAGTACAATGCGGAATTCGATAGTCTACGCCTTTTCGCTTTTAAACGAACTTCCCTGCTGTTGATAGTTTGCGGGTCTATCATTGTCAATTTTTGCGTCATGTGTCTTTGCTGGTTGCATCCTTCGACTACTACATGTTCGTCACTTTGCAATAGACGGTGACTGCTCGCGAATGAGCTCAAAGGCAAAATAAAATCGACCTTATTCAGCGCTTCACATAGAGTGCGATGGAGAACCGCACAACATGCCACACTGAATGCTCCCGATGGCAGCCGACAGGACGCCGGACGGTGGTCCAAGTGGTAGTGCGTTTGCCTCAGATGCTTCGTGAGCAAAGTGCCCGAACTCCAGTTCCATATCTCCTAACATGAGGTCGGAATGTGGTCGGCTGTTGACGGCAGGTTAACAAGGAACTGGATACTACAGTGTTTTTCGTCTTTACGGTAGCATTTCTTGATAGTAAATAGTTCTGAGAATGTCTGCAATTCCGTTATGCCGAAGTCGTTTAAAATGTTCCGTCATCATAACGCTGTACCCTTTGACAGCGAAGGTTTCAACTTACATGTATCTGTGTCTTGACCTAAAATGCAGTAAACGAAATAAGCAGTGAGTGAGAAACCTTGGTAAAATGGAAAAATGTAAGGACTTGAAAACGCACATAATTCGATTAATCATTTTGCTTATTGCATGACAGTAGCACAAACTCTAGCTGCTTCCTTTTAAGACTCAGCTATGCAGATGAGATGAGAGCCCCGTATACAGATATTTTTTTCAAAGTTCGTGCTCGTAGATAGGCGGGAGCGTTTCCTTTATAACCAAGGCTGGTAAACAGAAGTGTCTTACTTGGCAGATGAAAAACTTAATATAAAGGACGGTAAGGTTATTTGTCATTCCTGAGTAAAAATTGACGCGTTTTCGTGCTCCGGTCATTTCTTCCATAATTTATGAACGTTTGGTCGCACGTCTTAATATGGTGTTTTAATATTATTCAGGCATCTGTTGAAAAGGGTAAAAACCGTTTCATGTGTCGCATTCGCAATGAAAAGGTCAAAAACTTGTCCTCTTCCGCTAAGTCATATGTTTCGTTGTGCCCAGAAAGTGCCGACTAAGGCGAATGGGGGGGCTAGGAACTACATATTATCATAAAGCCTCATGGTCAGATTTAGGTCTTTTCAGGATCTCACCACAGTGGATGAGCACAGGTCTGCTTAGGTCATCTGGATTTATTCTTTGCCGTTGACTTTTTGACAGACATAACATCATCAATTCCCCTACAACACTAAAAACATTGTACAATGTAAGACGAGACTATGGAGCATAGTACTTTAAAGATTATCGTACATTGAAAACCTACAGGACGCCTTTAACTCTTGTAGTGTAAAACTATTCTTAAAATTCTTGTATTTAATTTTACTTCAGTAAAGTGGTAGTGCACCGTAATGGAATAAAGCGTGGTTATTGGAAAAAATGGAACGCTCATATATAATTCTGAGCAATAAAAAGCGCGAAAAATATTCCAGCAGCCCCAAGTGGATGCTGTTACGGTTTCGATGGCCTCGCCGCCGCCGTTACAACACCTCAATCCCTCACCCCTGGCGTCCAATGAAAAGCTTTTGTAGGCGTTTTCTGAAAATCACGCATAAAAAACAGACAGGTTAAAATAAAAACAACTTACCCTTCTTTTTTACATCCCAGTCAGCACCAAAGATGAGCTCGATGCACGCCTTCGCATGCTCCACCGAGGAACTGCCGTGTACCGCGTTGTCGAGGCTAGTCCGTCCGTAGATGGCACGTAAACTTCGTCGCAAAAATTCAAAAACGCTTTACATTCCTGACGTTTGACATCGTCAAAAGAAAGGAAACTGCAACACAAAAACTAACCAAGCAGGCTCTAAAGAGCCGACCTTGTGAACCTGTCAAACGAGTGAACATCCGATTGGTAGAAAGAACGACTAAAGTTTAACATACCAGAGCTTTTCCGGTTTTACGCTTCAGTAGTGAACAAAGTAAGAGGAAATTCAAATTTAATGCTGTCGTAAACAAGAAACGTAAGCAACACGACGACCTCGAAATAAAATTTGTTCAAAGTCGGAGGTCTCCCTAAAAACCGGTTATTTGCAGAAAGAAAGTTACAGGGAGTTCGACCGCCAGATAGCGCTAAGTACTCATTATTGGCAACAAGAATGAACGCCCAAAACGAGATGCAGTCAGTTCAGATATTTTCGGCAGTTCTGAGAGTTGACTACTCCTACAACGCTATCTGCGAATTCCTCTCTTACGCTGTGTTCTAGCCCCCATAAGATGTACTGTTAATGATAATTTGTGTTTAAAAAGGACGCCTGAACCTGTCTCATTTACTCGAGTTATGCGACGAGTTATGGGAATGAATCGCGATAAACGCTTTTTTCTCTCTCCTTAATTTTTTAATGAAAACGATTAACGAAAACAGGAACATTCCCGAGCAAAGTGTTTCACAGCTTGACAGGCTTGATGGTTAATGATAAGGAATTATTCAAGCCTTTTCTATTGAGACCTATGTGCGCGAACTAGTTTGTCTTAGAACCACGAAGGCACTACAGTGATAACAGCGTGTGCTTATCAGACAGAAAACACTCAGCATTTATATGTTTACTACTAAACCAGGACTTAACTGTCACGTGGTCAGAACATGATGTCTTTATGTAATAGCTTAAATCAACTTACTCATCAGGATAGGAATCCACTGCTCTGTCCGGATCTGCGCAGCCCATTAACGCTCGCCACTTTTCCACCCCATCTTGGGCCTTCAAAATAAGGCAGATGGAAGGCGCCCTTTAAGAAGGAAATAAACATTCATGGTTATTCTCGATAGTCGCTGTGAGGTAACGTTCATACTTGACTAAAGTATGTACGTTAAATAAATTATGCGTATTCCATGGACGTAGGGTTTCAGCAGGTTTATCTAACCGAGGTTTGGCCTGCTGGATGATAGATAGGAAGAACACACTTAACCTACCCGCGAAATAACACTGGTGATGGTTTCAAAGAATGTGGTATCTGCGAGTTTAAAAAATAGCTTTTTCAATGTTGAACTTTCTAATACACGAAATTTAGAGGGACTATATTCTACCTCCAGGCTAGGGCACGAAAAACGAAAGAAGAATGTTAAAAACCTAAATGGGACTCCCGCATAACCTGGAGGAACGCAATAAACTCCTGGATTGCTGCCTCAAAATCTAAAGCCTCAACAGCGGTTTCGTGGCACAGACTCTAAGACCTCTAGCTACAGAGCGCCGCGGCTAGAAAAGGAAAACAACTGGCGTATGGCAAAAGGGCATCCGAGCTACGAGTACCCTGTTCACTAAAGCGTTTTTTGAAATGATCGAACCTGGATATATAGGCCTTTTAAGACAACAGCGAACATTTAAGTAAATATCGTGTCTAAAATATAAACTGCTTCTAGCAGCTATGCATGAAATAATGCTTTATCTATTTTACTGATGAAGTTTTCAGCAGAAAGTTAGGCGGGAAGACCAAAATTAGACAACTTGGGTGTGAACGCAAGAAAGTTATATAAGAAAGCGTAAATGTGTAAAGCTGTGTGAATTACTAAAGATGGAAAAAAGATGAGCTTGGTCACTAGGGGGCTTCAAGACAAGGCCGCCCGTCTCCTTCGCAGGTGACACAGTTGGGTTAAATTTGTCTGCGATTAATATTTCAGGTCTGACTTCAGTCAGAAA